CCAACTGTTATTCATATAAGAACATCAGATAAAAAACCTCATAAAGACGAGTAATACACCGGTTTTACCATACCTGATGTAGTGCAAATCTTCCTCCAAGGGGAGGCCTGGAAGCTTTCAGATGTTTCGACCACTGACTGCCATTATGAGTAAAGAGGCCAATATGGTAACTGGTAATGAAAATAATCAGTAGCTTGTGCACACAATTAAATCCATTAACCTCTCCCAAATATGGAATAATCCTGCAATTTCAGAAACTCAATGCTTTGTTCTGTTGGTATCTCCAGTTATTGTTTGGCCTCCCAATTCCTCTTCCTGAGAAGTCTCTGAAGAAGTGACATCTAGTTTCTTCCTGGATGGCACCTGCGTCCTTTGCATTTGGCCTTGACAGTCCCTGTGGCACTTGGAAGCTGCCTACTAATGGTGAAGGCCGGAGGCTGTATTTCAGCACGTGCTGGATTTGATCCACCAGTAGCTTTTGAGACTAGACCGTGAAGTTCCCTCACTCTGCCCTCCCTCAACAGATGTAGGTTTAGATTTTTGAGGTGGAATGAAAACTGGCTGACCTGCCGTGCTCAAAGGGTTGTGATCAGTGGCATGAAGTCCAGCGGGAGGCCTATCATTAGTGGCATCCCCAAGGGTACACTGGGCCAGCACTGTTTGACATGGTCATTAGTGACCTGGATGATGGACAGAGTGCACCCCCAGCAAGTTTGCAGAATATACAAAACTGGGAAGAGTGGCTGATACACCAGGTGGTTGTGCTGCCTTGACAGGCTGGAGAAATGGGCCAACAGGAACCTAATGAAATTCAACAAAGGGAAGTCCTGCACGTGGTAGGGAATAACCTCGTACATCAGTACAGACTGGGGGCTCTCTGGCTGGAAAGCAGCTTTGCAAAAAAGGACCTGGAGGTCTTAGTGGGCAAAAAATGGGACATGAGCCAGCAGTGTTCCACTGTGACAAAGAGAGCATCCTGGTCCGTGTTGGGAGGAGCTTTGCCAGGAGGGCGAGGGAAGTGATCTTTCCCCTCTGCTCAGCACTGGTGAGGATGAATAACCAGTGAATCCAGTTATGGTTCCACATCTGGGGTTTGTAGGACAAGGATGTGCTCATACTGGAGTAGGTCCAGTGAAGGGCCGTGAAAATAATTAAGGGCTTGAAGCATCTCTCATATGAGGAGAAGCTGAGAGAGCTGGGCCTGTTTGTCCTGCAGGAGTGGAGAGTAGGTTTGAGATCTTATGAATGTGTATAAATACCTGATGGAGGGGTGTAAAGCATCACCATACACAGCGGTAGATGTTCTGGTTATTTTGATTTCTGTGTTTTGGATTCAAATACTGAAAACCGACCTGGACTTTTCATCGTTTTGTTGGAATTGGTGTGTCTTTTAATTGGTCTCTTACATTTTAAAGTTTTGTTTGTGTCATCAACGTGCAGATTGAAACATATGCAAAGATATTTGTGATTGACGATTGTCATAGCATATATAGGCTTAAAATTCATAAAGCAGGCACTAAATACAAGAGATTGATGGTCTTTCATTAACACCATCAGAGCTGGCAAATTTTGAAAGGCAGTTGACTTAGAGCAGTGAAAGACTGGCTAGTTTGGCCTCACATTATCTCAGTAAGTCTTTGTCCGCTCTGATAATAAAGTAAGGTTACGTTTGGCCTGCATCTTCATTGTATAGTCTATTTAGCACTTTCAGGGAATACTTGTAAACCACTTAGAACATTTCTGAAGGTGGATACAGTTTATAATCCATGTGTTTAGGGAGGTTAAAATGTTTCACTACACAAACTATCTCAGTGTTCTAGGATCAAATTTGGAAAAGTGCTGAATCCTAATGAGGTCCTGTAATATCCATTAGCGTGAGGTGTTGGTGCATGCACACTGGACCTTGAGATCTGGCTTTGAACATGCATATATTGATGTCATGTACTATATATAGTTCAGAGTGAATTTACAGATTATCTTCTTAGAAACCCCCAAGCTTTTTACACCGTACTGGAAAGCTGCACCTTTGGGTGCTCTGCCTTTTCTGTGAATAAAATGTGGACTAACTTTTTTTGCCTGGTTTTTGTTTCTTGTCTTCACCAAGTGATGTCCTATTGCTCAGGATATCACATGGGAGTAGCAGGTTAAATCATGCTCGTGCTCTTGAGAATCTTGTCAAAAGGCCTCATTCTTCAGAAAAAGGGGAAGGGAAAAAAGACTTTTGCCTTGTGTGCGTAGCGCCTTTTATTGTGCTAATGTGAAATGATTCGATGTGATGGACAGCAGTTTATCAAAACAAAATCTCATTAAAATCTGTCTGCACTTTGCCCTTTCTCTCCTTTGTATAATAAGATTGTGAAGCTTTCTGTGACCAGACCGTAACCTGTGGTAACCTATAGTCTGCGTACATTTATGGGTGATGAATAAAACCATTGTTATCAGCCTTAAATGTTGGCATCAATATTGTGCTAATAACGTTTGAAGTTTCTGCTTTATCAGCAGCAATGACTGGCAAATAATCAGCTGGTTTGTAATGGGAAGCTTAAAATAGCAGCCGAAGACATTTAAGTTAAGCCTCATGGAAAAAGACACTGCTGCATTTATTATGATACCATTTTTGTTGTGTAAGGATGACATGATTGTTGTTTTAGCTTTTTAGACATACAATGCAATTAGGAATAATCAGTTTTCCCACACATTCCGCAAAGCAACTGAAGCACACATGCTAATAACCAGGCCCTTAAATTGAGAGTGCCTTCTGCTGCCTGGGCAGCTCACGGGTACAGATGCGTGTTTCGCGGTGGTATGCAGCTACTGGTGTTTGCAGTCTTCTTACAGAGATGCAAGTCTCAAAAGAAGTTGCTGGTAAATAGTAACTCTCAAAGATTTGCCCATACTACCAATTTATATATACTTTGGAGTACAGAGGAAAGCAATCCATATATAAGTACATATGACATATTGTAGGCTTTGCAATCCTGACTAAAAGTTTAAAAGAATGTGTAAAAGAAATTCTAATTTGTGTTTACTGGAAGTAGTAGGTGGTCGCACCAATAAAAACTATATTGCGTTACATATGCACACAGATACACGTAGCGTTTAACCTGTAGCTTGTGTGAAATGTGTGTGGCTGGTTGTAGAAGTCAGAGCATCAGCAGACAGGTCAGGATTTGGGCAGGGTGTTCCGAAAAGAGATCTTGTCTGTAACTAAAGTCAGTAAGTTTATACCAACAGTTTTAGTTCATAGCTGTTCCTACTAAAAGCCATTTTTTATTTTTTTATTTTTTTTTTTTTTTGGCTGGGGGGGAGTGTCTTATATATTCTTAGACCAGGCTCTATCATGATTGTTTTAGACAGAAATCTGCATGAACAGATATATCTAAAAACTGTTCATGTTCATATACAACCTTTTTTTTCTGAATTCTCCTCCCCAGTTTTTTTCTGTGATCGTTGCTTTCCTCAGCGTGAGTATGCAGTAATTTTATATTCTGTATGCTTCTAGACTTTTACTGTGTTGAGGCCAAGTCAGTGGGACTTTTTTTGCATGCTTGAGACTAAATATTTGCTTGCTAGGAATCTTAGACTGAAGTGCTTAATTAAATGTATGAAAAATAAATTGCTAAACTTTATCACTGACCAGTACTATTTACCAGGAAATGAAACATAGCGAGAGCAAACAAGTGATATCCTAACTATGATGTATGGTTACTTGCATTTCAGTGGACATAATTTTCCACATAAAATTTTAGAGGTTTGGCCATACCAGATGGTGAAAGAGTCTCAGTGTGGATGTAGTTGTATCTGTATGAGAGATTGCAAGTGGGAATAACATATTCCTGCTTGTGAAGAATAAGCCACAGTGGCATGAGAAAACTTTATTATTAAAGTGTTCCCACACCAGGGCTTATATCTGTGTGTTATTTTACCAAAATTTACAGTAAGAATTCACACCTTTAGATCAGGACATGTGATAGCTTATAAAAAAATTGATTTCTGAGAACGGAAGATGAGGTTTGCTCTCTGCAAGAAAGTGTTACAAGCCCTCATCACCGATAGAACAATAGCCTGTGCTGGCCTCTTGCACTGAACTCAAATTAGTAGCAAAAGAATTTTTCCCAAATGCTTGCAAAAATTGTGGTTGTAACACCTGTGACTGAAACCGCAGTTACACACCCTTGTGTAAGGGAGAGGTGTGGAGGAAAGGGGAATCTGTTCACATTATCCAATTTTAGAAGATGCCCTGACACAATGGTAAAAAATGAGGATTATGCCAATTACAGATTTTCTTTTTTCCAGTGAAAATCTGTGGAGATGATTTAGACTGAAATGAAAGCTGTGATGTCCTACCCAGTTAAATGTTCTGTTCACCATGAAATGTACCAGTAAGGCCACCGTAACGAAGTCAAAAATAAAAAAAAATCCTTAAAGCTGGAAAAGAAGTCCCATTTTCTCCAGGAGCTCGATCTTAAGACTGCTGACCAAGGAGGTAGCTTAATCTCCAGCTGAAGAGCTGGAAAGATGCAGCCTATCCCTTTAATCCCCATGAGAGTCCCTAACTTGTCATTGCTATTTGGCAATTATTTATTTTGCGTATTTGGTCAGGGTCTGTGACACCTCAGTGCAGCTGTCTGCTCTCTGTCAGACAAAGAGTGAAGCTGAATAAATAACTCCTGGCAAGTAAGCGTTATCCTGGTAAATCCTTCTCAGTCCTTGTGAGTGTGGGACACGTTTGCAAAGTTTCAGGATGCCTCAAGACACATTTTATGCAAATAAACTGTTAGCCAAGATAACTTCTTAACTCTAGAAGAACTCTAGAAAAATCAAAAGCGCTGCATCCATCCTTGTGGGTGCCTTGGGGCCACTTTTATAGAACCAAAGATTGGGTCTGAGTGGAAATGATTAAGAAAGTCATTTGAACATTATTACAAAGTTTTCACTTAAAAGACGTGCTAATATTTTATAGTTTAGTTACAGCTTATCATCTATCTTTGTTCTTCCAGGCTTTTAAGACCAAGGATGGCTACATCGTGGTGGGAGCTGGAAATGATCAGCAGTTTGTCACTGTGTGCAAGGTAATGATGCGTTAGGCAACAGTGCAGCAGTGTGTAATAGTTTCCATTCTGACTAGGAAAATAATTACCGATTGCTTCTTAATTCCCCTTTTTTTTGTGAAAATAAGTAGTGAGTGCAAATTCTAACCCTGAGGTTCTTGCTGGTAGTTTAGGGGACTGATATGTGTTCTGTTCTTGGCCTCTGCATTCAGAACACCCCAATTCCCCAAGTTGTGAGTGCTGGACCCCTTCTGAAGTCTGTGCAGCTGCACAGCTAATTAGCTAATAAATGAACAAGCTAACAACTTTCCAGTTCTGGAATGGTGAATGTCACGGAAGTCACACTGATGCCTTTTTCAGGAAGAAATGTGACAATTTCTGCATAAAATACATGACAGGCATAGCTATCAACAAAGCAAAGCCAGGGGACGGATGCTTCTTGTGACACTTTAATCAGTAGCTGAGTTCATAGTCCTCTCGATCACTACTAGTATTTGCTGGTCTGTGCTGCCAGAGAAACTTGCGGACTTCTTAGAAAGTAAATATTACAGGACTGTGGGATGGCTTCGGAGTGGTGCAGATGAGACACTGAAGAGCAGATCTTCAAACAGGACTGTTGCTATCAAAATCTGGTATCTTTGTCATTTTGAACTGAATCCACATGACACTGGCAATCCTGTTTTCCCCGAGAGTAGCTTGGAAAGTTGTAAAATAGTTTTGGATTTTTCACATACTCTTTTCCTCTTGTTTTAATATCTGGAATTGCTTTTCCCTGGACAGTGAATGCATTTTAAAAGAGAAGGAGTGGTTGTAGGGAAAAAAATGTTCTAAATAAGGTGTAGCAAAATTCCAAACAAAAGACCCCAGTAACATGTTAGCTGGGACAAGAGAAATTTTGCATATAGCATAGACAGCATTTTTAAAAATGCGAGTTCTAGCTTTTTCCTGCCATTGTGGTTTTTCTCTGGGAACTTGGATATTTAACCTAAATTAATCACACTCAGGAAATTGAACATTATTTTCCTCCATTTGTTCATGTCAGACATTTCATGTTTCCATGGATATTCACAACTAATAACTGATATATGTGGTAGGAAAACAGTGCTGTTGTGATTCTCTCTTAGTGCAGTTTGGCATTCATATCCACACCTTGCTGCCTCGAGGGGTCTGGTTTCTCTTGATTGAATTGGTGCTCTCAATAGGTAACAAGTTAACATCTTCAAAGTTTGCTCAGTTTTTTTTTTTTTTTTTCATGCAAGTGTCTGGCCACTGCATTGTGGTCATTATCTTAAAAAGAATGACGATTAATGACTGAATAAGTGTCTACATGCCACAACTCGGTTTTATTAAAGACTCATTGTCTCATAAGGGAGATCTTTCCAGAAAGTGCCAGGACATGTCTTAATCACTTGAAGTGAAGAGTTACATACCAGATGCTGGCCATCTTGGCATCCTTGAGTTAAAGCAGAGCTGAAGATCTGGCTCGGTAGGTTCTGACACCATGGTGTGAGCTAGAAGGCACTCAAAATTCAGACCATGCATTCACCTTACTGTAGGGTGCAGCTGAGAGACTTAAGGTGTGGCTTGTTGCTACATACTCCCTCTGTCATCAGTAAGGAGTGAATGGTACCCCAGAAGATGAGGCAACATTTCCAGCATTTGTGTTACCTCAGAATTTGTAGTACTAAAATTAAGTGAGTTGAATAGTGGCCCTAGTCTGCAGGATGGTGGTTTTTTGTTTCATCCTTATAAAGGTGTTGTGGTAATTCTAGAATTGAAAGTAAGCGGTACAGAACATGGAAAAATGATGATTGTTTGCATTTCAAAAGGATTAAAAAACCCAGAAAAAATAGGTCAAGTTTTGGGTAATGGCTAGGTTTTTCTATAAACCAATTATCATATCTGTTTCTTAAAAGAATGGTCTTTTTACCCATATTGAGTTACTGTAGGTATGGATTTGGGCCATTACATTGCCCAGAAATGGAGTGATGTGGAAGTCAGTGGAATGCTGTGAAACCCATTAGAGGTATGCTCTGTGCTAAGGCGAAGGTGATTTGGAACTTAAAACGCTGTGAAGGGGGAGAGCCAATAAAGGAAAAGGACTTTATTACAGGAAGGCCTGCAACACCCTAGTGAACCTTTAGTTAATACAGAGACCACTAATTCAAACATTGGAATTGCTATTAGAGGACCTTTCTGAGATGAGTTGGTGCTAAAAATACAGGCTGTGTGGAAGCTGTTGCCCTGAAGACACATACTCTAGAGATGTAACAGCTGGCTCAAGCTGTAAACAATTGCAAACATTCTGCTCCAACCATATCTTCTCAGGCAAGCAGAAAGAAGAAAAACTGGAATAATTCACGGTGATATTTTCAGAATCAATGACAGCTAACTCTAGCTTGTTTGGGGACCTGGCTAATTGCAGAAAAACTTTGTAACTCTGTGCCTGAAGGTGCATTTCGTAGTGGTCGAGTGTTACAAAAGCACATCCCGAAGTGTGGCTGCTTTGGTCTTAACAGGAATACTGAGCAAGAGTCTTCAGAAGACTGAGCTCTTGTGTACAGCAAAGGAGGGTACAGACGGGTTTGCTAGTGTTGGGGACAAAACACAGAGAGCGTAAACTCTGAATGTGCATCTTAGAGCTTGAAGGAGGGCTAGAAATGGAGAACAGCAGTTTCATTCCAAGTGGTCACAGTGAAATAAGGAAAATAACATTGGCAGTGTGATGCAGAAAGATGAATGGCACATTAATGAATAACTTCTCAAATGTGCATTTGTTAGTCACAAAAAAATTGAGAAGAACATATAGACATGCAGCTTTACAACAGATGGACATTAAGTTGAAGCTGAAGTCAGTAACGTTAATTAAAACAGTAGAGTGAGCAACTCCATATGATCATTTTTCGTATAACTCATCAAATGGAACTGTAGTTTTTTGATTAATTTCTTGGGGTTTTTAAGCTCTCATAAATGAGTATTCACTGTCATTTACTTTGAACAACCTTGCATCATTTTTTTTTCCTAAGGCAGTGATTTGCAACTCCAAAATATCCGTATTAAAAAGAGGAGATAATTTTAAGGGGGTACCAATATTATTCTTAAATGTTCAGATAGGAAACGAAGAACATTTTCTAATTCTAAATTATGATATGTTGTCTTTTTCTTAAACTAGAATATGTAAACATAGAAGGCAAAGAAAATATGCTGTGAATTAAGTGTTGGTGGAAGATGCTAGATTAATGTTTTATCTTACCTTGTAGATAAAAATCCGCAGAACAGCTATATAATATGGTCATTGTTCTAACAGCACTTACTGATACCTTGATTTCCATGCTTAGTTTTTTCACTCTAGGTAACAGCTATGTCAAAGATGACTCTTTGTTTTGGGTATCTCTAAATATCTGTTGAGAGAGTATCTGTTTTGCTGATGGTTTTATGTCATCAACAGCTATTCATTTGGAAGGGAAGCCATTTATTCACTCCAGCAGAGTGAGGAGTCATTAAATGATAGTGGCCTTGGTCTGAACTGATCCCAGAGCAATTAGTAGAATTCTGGGTTTGAGGCAAATATCAGAAAGATTGACACCAATCTGTGTATCACTTACACGGGATAGTCCACAGGCATATGGATTCAAGAAGCAACCGACCAGGTTAATGAAACAAGAACCCACTGAGGATCACCAAATACACAGAAAGCAGCTCCAACTCAGAAATGCCCTAATCTAAAGATGGCTGGAGTTTGGATGAATATTAAGGAAGTATCATATGTACTGGCCCTGTTCTTAAGCTCTTCCCAAGCATCAGCACTCAGCCACAGGCAGAGGTAGGATGATGGGCTATAGGGACTTCAGCTTTCAGCCAGTGCTGTTTTTTTGTAAACCGTGGCAATGGCCCTGTAAAAAAATGTAGCATGTTTAGAATGATTTTAAGACTCATTGTAAGAAAAACTGATCTTGGGTGTGTGTTAGTGAGTAAAATTACATGAAGAAAATGTGACAGTCTCTTTATTTGTAAGCTTCTATGCTGTAGCTCTGTTACTGTTATCATTTGTGTAGCTGATGGGATATTTTTTAATAAATTTGGAAAGTACAATTCATTCTGTTTATTTCTGTTCTATATAGATACATTGTGGCATGAATAGATAAATTAGATAGTACGTATTGATTATCCACATAGCTACTCTGTCTCATAAATGCCTCTACAAAATTCTAAGACTCATTCTTCACATTTAATTCCCTTCATAGTGTAATTCACATTGTCTTTGCGTGATGGTTAAATTTCTAATGTGCCAGGTGGGAGTTACATAGAGAAGATATATTTGTCCTTTCATAGAGGTTATACTGCTAATTTTCTTTATTAGTTCTTTTGGAAAAAATCATAAAGAAAATATATGACATTTCAATAGAAAAACACTTTCTCTTTTTTTTTGCCTTTTGACAGAAATTACTGAAGTGGAAAGAAATATTCTTAGACATAGCTTTTCTCAGTCTAGCATATGAAGTACAGTCATATTTCTTACTCTGTGACATATAACTTAGTGCAGGATAATCCCACAGATCTCTCCAACCTCACGGTAATAACTTACAAACTTTTTAGTGTTCTACAAGAAGAATTTCTCCTAGCTAATGGTGAAAGCTATCAACTAAGATTTGGATCTTCAGTTTAATTTATGTCTTTTTCTGTACTTGTTATGTAACATTAACCAGGAGGAATTATTTTTTCTGAATTTCCTAATCTGTATTAAAAGATTAATGAGTAGGGATTTTTTGAAAGCTATTTTAAATTGGTAATGAATTTCTCCTTAGATAGATAAATATCTCCTGCCAAGCACATTTCTTACTCACCTTTATTTTTACTTAGATCCTGAATTTACCTGAAGTTAGTAATGATTCCAGATACAAAACTAATACACTCAGAGTCCAGAACAGAAAAGAACTTATTGACATATTGTCAACCCGGTAAGTTAATTAAAACGGAAGAAATGACATCTAATCTGTTAATACAAATAGTCATGTATAAGAAGCTCTCATCACATGGAAATTTTACTTAACTCTTTTGAGATACTTTATTTTTTAAAAAACAGTATTGAGAACACTTACTGATGTTAAATATACTGCATTTTGCACACAGACTCTATCATGGATTAGCAAGAAGCCAGACCACAGATTTAAGTTTCCAGAAACCATTTTCATTTATTTTTAACGATTAACTTGAATTGCAGTGAAACAATCAGTGCTTTCTGCTTTCCTGGATGAATGTAACTCCTGGAAATAAAATGCTTGGAGCACCATTTGCTTTTGCTGTGACTGAGATTTTAAAGTTTTCAATGAGAGTTGCTGTATCCAAGGGAGTTCTTGATGCTACTCCCTCACTGCTGGTTCTGTATTGTGGTACTCTGTGCCCCAAATTCTTGCTGGGTCAGTCCTTTTGAAATCAAAAGGATATGTGCTTAGTATTCTACATGGGACTCTTCCTATTAAATACTTTAATTAACAATTATTTAAGAGGAAGCTGAGGAACCCTTTATTTGAGAGATTAAAGTAGCTTAGTTACCTTCCTTATTCTGTTTGAGAAGGCCTTATTTCTGTGGCGTGCTCTCCTGTTCAATGTAGAGGATGATAAATTCATATAACACAAGAAGGAAACTAATCCGTGTAAAGCTACCCAAAGGTGGCTTCAGCAACACCTCGTACCTTGGGGCATGAGCGGAAGAGGCAGTATATCTACAGGTGTCAGTGATTCAAGAAATGTCACACTACTGTTTTGGCACTTGGCCTCCTTTTTTGTAAGGAGTATTCCTCCCCTTTTCACTCCATCTGAGGAAAGAGTTTCAGTAGCACACCCCTTCCCCTCCTCTCAACCCCACACAATTTTTGGATATTGAGAACCAGAATCACCTTGCATTGAAGACTGTAGAGAGAGTGATTTTGCTGCTTCCTGTTGCACTTGCACTTTTGTCTGTGTCTTACCTGTACATTTTCAGGTGTCCTGCCCCCAAAGAAATACTGAAGCACCAGATGACTTTGCATTTTCAAGTAATTATGTTACAACTGTTCATGATGAACTTTAGGAACTCATATTTTACTTGCCTTCTTATAACAAATGTATTGTGATAGCACAGATGAACCCACTCTTCCTATAAGCATTAAGCCCTTGAAAGGGAATAGTTATCTTCTGACCTACTTTTGACCTCTTACATTCTTGACACTTCATCTTAGTTTCCAAGTTGGTTATTGTTGACTTATTACTTGGGGTTCATTTCATTTAATATGCCAGTTATCTGATGTACTGTGGTACCTTATGAGAGTGCTGTTTTGCCATTTACAGATCAATTACTTAATAGCTTGTTGCTTGTGGTTAATTTTGAATGTAGGGGTTTTTCTTTAATGGGCAATATCTGAAAAAGAAGATAAAATTGAAGGAACAGTTGTTCTTTGAATGAATCACCAGAATCCTAATTTGTTTTTATATCTGTAACTATTAGTTCATCATATTACCTCATTGCTCTTTCAATTACTGCTTTATATCTTTTTTTGTCAAAGTTTATGTTCTGTTTTATTAGCGTCATTTAGGCTGAATTTCTGTGTAATTTATATGCAAGTATGTGACTGTATACACGCTTTTAGAGCAGACGTTTCCAATAGTATTCTGTTATGTCATAGTATTGTGAATTCATCTGGCATTCAGTTTTAAAACTCTGACTGTAACAAACACCTTTGGCATTCTAATGGAGGTTGAAAATGTTTCCATACACATTCCATGGTAACTTTGCTTTTATTCACTAATGCACAGTTGTTTGTAAAACTATATGTGGTTCATTTTTGAAGTTACTTAGAGAATTAAATGAATAGTTTCTCAGTGCTGAAAAATGTCAACCCTTGAGAAATGAAGGGAAATGACAAAATAGTAATGGCAGAATTTCACTGAAAAATACCTTAATTAAATCACTGATTGCTTGATAGTACTGCAGCTTCCAGCACATGGAAATTATAAACCTAAGGTGCATTAGTTGGAAAGAAACACCTGCAGACCTTCCCATTCACTCACTATATGTACACTGCTTTCCGCCTCACAAAGAATTTGTGGAGACATGAGCCAGAGTAGCTTAGAAGAGTTGTGATTTTCGTGATGTGGATTCTGCTACAGTCACTTTTGTTGAGATAAGCCCCTTCTTTGTGTGGTGGAAGGCAAAAAGGAATATGAAAGTCCTTTAGGGATTTAGTCAGGCCATTCAGCCTTGTCTCATTTTGTTGCTGTGCCAGGCAGGTTGCATACAACTTGAGGCAAAGCAGCTTCTTTCCAGTGATCTTCATAGAACCGTAGAACGGTTTGGGTTGAAAGGGACCTTAAAGATCATCTACTTCCAACCCCCCTACCACGGGCAGGGACGCCTTCTACTCGATCAGGTTGCTCAAAGCCCCTATTACAAATGTTGCAATGGAAAAGTCAGCAAACTTGTTTGGTGCGGCCAGCGATCCTCCTCAGGGGAGGGGATTCTCCCCCTCTGCTCCGCTCTGGGGAGACCCCCCTGCAGTGCTGGGGCCAGCTCGGGGGCCCCCAACAGCAGAAGGACCCGGAGCTGCTCGAGCGGGGCCAGAGGAGGCCACGGAGATGCTGGGGGGGCTGGAGCAGCTCCCCTGGGGGGCCGGGCTGAGAGAGTTGGGGGGGTTCAGCCTGGAGAAGAGAAGGCTCCGGGGAGCCCTTCGAGCGGCCCCCCAGGGCTTAAAGGGGGGACAGGAGAGGTGGGGAGGGACTCTGGATCAGGGGGTGGGGATGGGACGAGAGGTGAAGGTTTTAAACTGAAAGAGGGGAGATTTAGATGAGATCTAAGGCAGAAATCCTTCCCTGTGCGGGGGGTGAGGCGCTGGCCCAGGGTGCCCAGAGCAGCTGTGGCTGCCCCCTCCCTGGAAGGGTTCAAGGCCAGGTTGGACGGGGCTGGGAGCCCCCTGGGCTGGGGGAAGGGGGCCCTGCCCAGGGCAGGGGGGGGCACTGGGGGGGCTTTGAGGTCCCTTCCAACCCAAACCAGTCTGTGGTTCTATGATAGTTATGGTGACTAGAAGCACATGAGAGGAAACATCCAGCTGTGTTTCCTTCCCTTTCTCCCAGCTTCTTTTGCTGCCATTTTCAGTTTATACATCCCTCCTGTTCCACTAAGTCATTGTTATTTTACGCAATTTTTGTATGGCAGACACTTGGTACTCTGCAGTTGCTTGCATATATCCCTGATTTTGCACAGTAGATATATGCATACTTTTTTTCCTAAACTGTTGATGCTGTTATAATCTTATTGAGCTGAGATTCCACCAGAGCCTAGAATAGTCTTCCATTGACCTACCTAACATGTCTCCTTCCTCCTATCTCTCTTGAACAATTTCTAGAGGTATGACTTGCCTTTTCCTATTTTTCTTAATTTTCAAAATGCAATTCCTGTGTAACTTCTGAGCACTTAGTAAGTGCAGGAAGAGGGATTGTTAACCTTCTCCTCTGAAGGAAAAGGATTTCCCAGGTTTTATTTAGGAATAGAAGATGTTCAGACCTACTCAGAGGGTCAAGAACTCCCTGAAGTCTTGAGCATTTAATTCACTGCATGTGTGGAGCTGAAATTTTACAAAACATCTGAACTCAGAATACCAAGGAGACAGTTGATGCCTTTCATTTGCTAGGGTAAACGTTAAGCAATAGAGTCTCTTTGGCCACACTTTTATTCTAGATGTGTGCACAAAGGAGACATTGGTACAATCGGTCAATGTTAAGGAATGCCATTTTTTTAAAAAAAGGCTGTGTCTTGGGAATTCCTGACTCAGATGACCTCTAATTTCGATCAATAATTCTACTCACTGCCTGCAGTAACCGTGCCAGGTTTCAAGGCAGTTAGATAAGCATGGGGATTATATAGCACTTAGAATAAACTGACCTTTAAACAGGAGACTTTTCAGAAAGGTGTGAAATGACCTATTCATCACAGTTGGATGTCCTGAGCTGAGATGAATATGGCTTGAGACATGCCTAGCTTGAAACAACAGCTCTGGGAGGTGTGAATTGTTCCATTCATCGCGGGAAGAATTTTCTCATCCTTTCTTTTCCCTGACAGAAATGAAGAGTGAAGCACATCTGTCCTTAGCTCTTCACCTTAGCTTGCTGTCTGCTTACAACATCTCAACTCCCTCTGCAGGGTACGCATGAAAGAGAGGGGGAGAGCAGGTAGGGGAGGATAAATTCTTATATCCACAGAGATTGTCAGATCTCAATAAAAGGAACTGGAAGGTAGACCACTCTGGAGTAGTATGCTGCTTCCGAGCAACCCAGCTCTCACACTGGGGCAAGAGGAGGGAATTACAGAAACCAGTCCCAGACATCTTGAGAGGGGGGGTTGTTTTTCAGCTGCATCTTCTATGGGGAAATGAGTACAATGCTGCGAGGACCACTTGGTCATAGGATATTAACAGGGAAGAAGAATATAGGCCTATGGGGTATTTTGTACTTGCTTTGCTACTGGTGGTGGTGTCCCTTTCCCATCTCTGGTCCTCTTCCTGCTATGTTTGGTTTTTTATGTCTCTGTCATCTTCCTCCACTTCCTATGGTTCCCTTAGCTTTTTATTTCCTCTTCTCCTGCTGCTGACATTTGCCCATCTACTATGTTTGCTTTACAAAAAAAGGAAGTTTCGGTGCCTTCTTTATCTTCCTCTTTATTTAAGTTACATTTTCCTCAAATGAGAACAAAGCAGACTTCTAACAAAAGCAAATTGCCTCTGAATGCCTTCCTTTCTTGGGTGTGTGCCAAGAGTCAAATTTAAAATGACCCTACCTGGGTGGAGGTCAGGTTCAATGGCTACTACAGAGCCCCTGAGACTCCCAGCTCATGTGAGAACTGACAGACTACAGAGCACTCTGTTTTTTATGTTTCCAGTGGAAACTTCTGGTTTGTGAGTTAGATGTACATCTATCCAAGAGAACCAAG